AAAAGTTCTCCCGTGATTGGCTGCATCCAGCTGTAAAAGTTTAATTATTGAACTATCGTGGACATATCAAAATATAATCAAAATTCAAGCAATGTATCTGTTTAAAGACAAAGCTTTTGGGGAAGGTTGGGAAAAAGGAACAGTTTTCAACTTACAAGTCCAATTCGAACATTGGGATAAAAAGCTTGATAAAATAACAGTGTTTTTAAATCAACCCAAGGATGATAATCAGACGGGAGTAACAACAGTACAGCCAGATTTACAACCAGATGGATTGGAATGTAGTTTGCTTCTGGCAGACCTGAAGGATGAAGTTGATTCAGAAAATAGAACATAGAATGACACCGTTGGAAGGAACCTTGGAAGTCATCTATTCCAACCCTCTATTTCTCCATAGAGGTCCCCCAAAATTTGAGGATATAAAGCAGGGGTGTCCAACCTTGGCAACTTTAAGACATGTGGACTTCAACTCCCAGAATTTCTTATTCAACATATTGGCTAGGGAATTCTGGGAGTTGAAGTCCACACATCTTAAAGTTGCCAGGGTTGGGAAATACTCTGTCAGAATTGATCGTTGTAGAAAAAGGACAGGGCCACATTGCTTTCCTTTTGGGACAGGGGTTCTCAACCTTGGCAACTTTAAGACTTGTGGACTTCAACTCCTAGAATTCCTCAGCCAGCAAAGAGAATTCTGGGAGTTGAAGTCAACAAGTCTTAAAGTTGCCAAGGTTGAGAACCTGTTTTGGGAGAATTGATTAAGGGCAGCAGGAATTCTATTATCTGTTAACTGGTTGGATAACATTGGAATGCAATAATTTTCTTTGTCTACCAACCTGTGAGAAATGCTTAAATAATTCACTAATTGTTGGGGGGGGGTGAGGTGACATAATCTTACCTTTGGATACTTTAAATAGTCTTTTACAAGGATTATAAGGCTATTGTGATAAGAAAATTAACTGGGTGGAATTTAAATGCTATATTAAAACTCCTTCTCTAAACTTCCATTTTATATTTCAAAATCTAGAAGAGGTGAAAGTGAGGCACTGAAATGATCTCATTACATTTAATGTTTTACTTAACTTGAACTTTTTGTTTTCAATTCCCTGTTAATGTCAATATAAAAAGTCCACAGTGAAGGCTTTTGTTTTGTCTGGTGACGTTAATCTTTGCAAAATGCTTATTTTTAGAAGGCTGGAAAGTCAGCCAAACATGCTATAACCTACAATCTGTCTTCCTCTTGGATGGGTAAAATGCGAACGTCCGTTATTTCATGTTTATTGTTAATCTTAGAAAACCCTTAGCAGTCAAGTGCATTCTAAACACAGCTATATGAATCACACCCACACAAGCTAAACCATTTAAAATCTGAACTCTTCATGCTACATCGTGACTCTAGGATAAGATTTTATTGTTCAGTATAATGAGGACAATGTAAGAATGGAATTCCCAATAAACTTATCTGGGAGTATATACAGTACAATACAATAGAATTAATGAGAGATTCGTTACATATACCTAATTTGGAATTGTTCAAAACTGGGTACTAGAGGGATTGCAGAAATAAGGTGAACTTGGTTTGATAGCTGAATGGATCACATTTGATTGTTTGGAAGGACACAACCTTTCTTCATCTTCACTGCTAAGCAAAAGCAGAGGTACACAGCCCTGCTGATCACTGTTTTCAAAATATTCTGCTAAGCATCTGTTCAGAGGGCTAGAAAGAGAGAACCATCTCTTGCAAAACAGCCTGAAGCACAGGAAGGGGAAGGAAAAATAAAGACAGAGGGAATGAAGATGGTTATCCTGCACCCCTAATGGTCTGGTTTTCCTGGGACACTGAATAGAAACTTTAGTCCAGTGTTTCTCAAACTTGGCAATTTTAGGTTCTAGGGACTTCAGCTCTTAGAATTCCCGAGCCAGCCATGGTGGATGGGGAATTCTGAGACCTGAAGTCTTGTTGTTGTTAGTTGCAAGTCATGTCCCACCCATCCCGACCCCATGGACAACGTTCCTCCAGGCCTTCCTGTCCTCTACCATCTTCTGAAGTCCATTTAAGCTCACACCTACTGCTTCAGTGACTCCATCCAGCCACCTCATTCTCTGTCGTCCCCTTCTTCTCTTGCCCTCAATCTTTCCCAGCATTAGGCTCTTCTCCAATGAGTCCTTCCTTCTCATTAGGTGGCCAAAGTACTTGAGTTTCAGCTTCAGGATCTGGCCTTCTAAAGAACAGTCAGGGTTGATCTCTTCTAGGACTGACCGGTTTGATTGCCTTGCAGTCCAGGGGACTCGCAGGAGTCTTCTCCAGCACCATAGTTCAAAGGCCTCAATTCTTTGTTGCTCAGCCTTTCTTATGGTCCAACTTTCATACCCACATATTGCAACTGGGAAAACCATGGCCTTGACTGTACATACTACCTGAAGTCTATAAATCTTATAAAGTTACTGAGGCTGAGAAACATGCCTTAGCCCTCCAGGGTAGGAAAATTCAGGTAAACATAGAGCCAGTCTTGAATTTCTTTGTTCCTCAGGATTGAAAACATGGTTTTCTAACTGTCTCTGTATAATTTCTCCAAGATCATCTCTGTGATTCTTCACAGTACTGCACAAAATGCAAAGGCCATTTGGGCACACCCACCCCACAGGGTTGTTGTTGTGAGAAAAATAGATGGCAGCAGTATTAGGTATGTTCACTGCCTTGAGTTAAGAAAAGTGGACTTTTTAAAAAGGCGGTGGAGTTTCAATCACAATGCAGGATTAAAATTAAAGCATTCTTGTCTACTGTCTGGACATGCTGAGGTCCTTTCCATCTCCATAGTGGGAGGGGGGGAAACACAATTATTTCTCTGGAATAAAAGAAAGTGTTTTGCAATACATTGATAGGAAAAGCAGGCCCAGAAAGCATAATAGAATAGTGCAAATAGTAAGTTCTGAAAAGTAGGGTTTTTTAAAAGAAAGTTTTTCTCATGAAAAAGATGTCATTGCACCTTCTGTATAGGTGCAATGTTACATAAAATGCATTTTAAAATTTCTTCCTCTCCTGGGGGCAGATTTTTAGAAATTACTAAATGTGTGGTTTCATTAATTTATCACATTGGGTTATTTTTTTAATTTTGGCATTTGTTACGCATTTCGCCATTGTGGTCTCTAGAGGCATCACAAGTAAAACAGAATCTCTGACACAGCATTCCATACTGCTGATGGTAAATATATTTTAACTTAGTTTTATAAATGTTACAGAGTAGATTTTATTTGTTTAACGACTGATTGAAGTTGCAACGGTGCTGAAAAACAGAGACTTGTGACCAGATCTAACACTTATGACTGTCACAGCATCCTTGTGGTGACTTGATTATGATTCAAGTATTTGGCAACCGGTCTGTATTTATGACGGTTGCAGCATCCCGGAGTCAGGAGTCCTAGCCATCTTCCAACAAAATCAATGGGGGAAACTGTATTTGCTTAATGATTGTTTAACAACTGTGGCAAAAATAATTGTAAAATCAGGCACAGTCATAATGACTGCATCGTTTAGCAACAGCAGTTCCAGCCCCAATTGTGGCTGTAAGACAGGGGTCTTCAAACTTGGCCACTTTTAAGACTTGTGGACTTCAACTCCTAGAATTCCCCAGCCAATTGAGGAATTCTGGGAATTGAATCCACAAGTCTTAAAGTGGCCAAGTTTGAGGACCTCTGCTGTAAGACAAGGACTACACGTACTGATATATTTATTATTCAGCAGCGTGCAAATAAGCTTCTCAGTCTTTAACGGATGGAGTTCAATGTGTTGCATGAACACAGCTTCTATGTTGCTTATGTGCCACCTCTTCCTACTGTTAAGAAACCTCCTTAAATAATATTAGAAAATAACTACTGTCAGAAATATTATTAGAAACATCTAATCATATTAGAAATATTACAAACTGTCTGGGGGGGGATATTTAAAGTTAAGCCATTAAGACCATTCTTCCACATTTCAGATATTTCAAATCTTAAAAACCAAGAGTCATAGTCATTGCAAATAAGCATGATCAACCAACCCAGACTTTTCCCAAATTCCCAAAAAACACATTCCTAAGAGAGATGGCTATATAAATTTAATTAATTAAATAATAATAATAATAATAATAATAATACCAATAGTAAAACAAGAGTAGTACCAATAGTGATAGGCTCCTTGGGTGCAATCCCAAAACAACTGGAGCACCACTTGAACACCATTGGCATTGACACATTCGCTATTAGTCAATTGCAAAAGGCAGCCTTACTAGGAACTGCTTCCTCCTGCAACGATATCTGTAATACCATCAAACATCCACATCTGCCTATCCCAGGTCCTGGGTAAGGACTCGATAGGTAGACAAAATGCCAAATCCAGTCTGAACATCTGGCTGACTGTGTGATGATCCATCATATTGCATTGATCAAATTACTAGACCTTCTGGAGCCAAAATAACCCCCACCTTCCTTTTCTTAAAGGCAACGTTTATGTGATGTTCAGTTTTAAGATTTGTGGACTTCAACTCCCAGAATTCCCCAACCAGCCATGCTAACTGGGGAATTCTGGGAGTTGAAGTCCACACATCTTAAAAGTGACCAAGCTCGGAACCTCCGCTGCATCTCGTCCTTATAAAAACAGGCATTCCCTCTCACGCTACTTTATGTTGTGCCAGCGGCTCGGAGACCGAAAACCGGCTCCACTTTGCCCGATCCCTGCAACCCTCCCCGCACCCCCCTCCACCTTCCCGCTTTCGCTCTCGTTGGTATATTCCCAATCCAAACCAAAATAGAGGGGCGGGAGTGAGGAGGGGAGCAGGGGGAGGAGCGAGAGGCCTGAAAGGACAGCGCTGGTTGGCTGAGCGGAGCTGTGGGCGGGGCCCGGGCGCGAGTCCCGCTTGAAGGAGGCCAAGAGGGAGGAGAAAGGGGAGAGGCGGCGGCTGGGGCGGGCGGGCGCACGAGCGTGGCCGTGCACGCGAGCGATGGGCGGGGCTTCCTCCGCTGCGGGCGCCTCTGGCCGAGCCGGGCGCGCAGGCTCGGTGGCTCGCGCGTTGTCTCAGCCCGTCGGTCCGTCAGCGCGTAAAGCAGCTTCGCCTGGAGCGGCGGCGGCGGTGGCTGCTGCAGCGGCAAGACGGGGACCGGGCTGCTGGGTCTGCCGGTCGGTGTTGGATGGAGGCTCCCGTCCGCCTCGCCGGTTCTCTCTGGAATGTCCTGGGGAGCGTCCGTCGAGCGGGAGCGGAGCCTCTCTGGGCGCAGCCAGCGCCGCTGCGGCTGAGAGGTGAGGTTGGAGGTTGGGGGTGGGGGGAAGAGAGACCCTTGCTGGGTTGGCAGGAGGCCGGGGTGGGGGTGGGGGTCCCGGGGAAGGAGAGGACTGGGAGGGCGCGCGCGAAGGTCGTGTGAACGTTGGAAACCCGCGTGTAGGTCAGATCGGGATGGCGAAGCGCGGGGAGCGGGGAAGGGGATGCTCCCGCGGGTTGCCCGAGCTTGTTTGGATGCTTCGGGTCTTGCAATTGGGGGATGGCGGGGGCCTTACCTGCCATTCCGTGTGTGTGTGTGTGTGTGTGTGTGTGTGAAAGGTGCGAGGAGGGGTGGTGGGGTGCGCGCTCGTGCAAAACCCCCGACCTTCAAGGGCTTGTTCAAGGTGGGGGTCGGCGGGGCGGAATCATCCCACGGGCGGTGCTGGTGCAAAACCCGGAGCTTCGCGGGCTTGCAAGGCTGGTGGGGGCTGATCAGCTTTCCCGGGCTGGCTGGCATGGCCGTCTATCCTCGCCGTTTCCAGCAAGGCTGGTGACATAAATCTGGGGGGGGGGAGAGAAGGGGGGAGGAAAAAAGGGGGTGTGGGGATCGATAGGAAGATGAAAGAGCTCTTGTCACCTTGGAGATAAGAGTTATGATCCGCCTCCCCCATCTTTGAATCCCCCCCATCTATTGAGGTATCAGAAACTTTTCTTGTTCTTTTGAGAAATGGTGGGCAAGTTTCAAGGGCGCATCTCTCTTTTGGATCGCTGCTGAGCACGGAGGGAGAAAGGGGCTTCCTTAAACATTAAGGCGTGCAGAGAGTGAGCTGGGTTTTGCAACTGCTGCAACAAAGCCGACCTAAAACTCTTGTGACAGCTTAAAGACTAGCAGGTATATTGTAGAGCCGGTTTCCCCCCCCCCCCCCGGGTTATATAATGCACGTCATTTATTGCTTTATCCCAAGAGACCAGTCGGTTTGCACCCAAGTTTGGGTTTTAATCATAGGGAAGATCAAAAAGAGATGAAATGCGGGGAGTGCTAGCGGTGATAATTCTCCATATGGCCATTCAGATATGCACATAAGTACCCTTGGAGAAGTAAATGGAATGGGAAGTGCCTTTTTTCTTTCTATAAATCCCAGGACATTGAAAGGAAGGAGTTAAAAGTGGTGTTTTTCTGATGCTAAAACATCTGCTCCCTTAAGGAAGTGAAAGAAAAGTTACCTGTTTTTGAGCACATGCTCTTGTATGTGCAATTCTGCTACAGTGCAAAGTGCATATGCAAAATAACACTGGAGTTTGTCAGGAGTTGCTGATACTTCCTCCTTTCTATACATAATCAGGCAGTGTCTATGGAAGGGAGTTGACCCTGCTTTACTGTTTCTTAACCCATGTGTAGCTTTTGTGTTCTTGACAGAATCTGAGATGAGTTAATTACTCTGTATGTATATCCCCTTGTATTTATTTCCCACCATAAATTGATTTGTGCAAGCCATTGCTTTTTGTATTCTGTGTCTTTGTGAATAGTCTGTTATGGTAGTTTTGATATCCAAGTGTTTTTTCCTTTAGTTTATCATAACAATCATTTTTAGTTCTTCATGTATCATATGGAAAAGTTATTTTTTAAATCTAGAGATTATTTTAGCATTAACGTTACTCCAGAGGCATGTGACAAATAGAATAACCTTGTGTTAGCTGGAATTTGTTTCTGTTTACTATGGAGGATGATACTTCATTTCCATAACAAAATCCTAAGAAGAAGCAGATAACTGACTTGGTCAGAAAGTTGCTTTTGATAAAACCAAAGGCAGTGCCTGGCACTTCAGTGAGAAACATGATTGAGAGGCTCAGTTGTCAACTTCAAACTGTTTAACTCTTGGCAAAGTTCTTTTTGAATGTGAAGTTGTAAGCTGCATCTTGTTTTTCTTAAAGAATATTTATAGCAGCAATATGTTGGGAGGTTTTTATTTGGGCAAAGATGAAACACCACATTTTGTCTGGAAACTTTAACTGTTTTATGTGCTGCTCAACTAGAGAACATTCTTAGTAGGAGCAGATTGTGTTACTGCTATCTGTTATACACATGTCAAAATTGCAAAGTGTCCAAAAAATTGTGTGCAAAGAAAAACAAATCTAAAAAGGAAATTTTAGTTTCTTTGTATCCAATAAATCATCAATATAATTCATTTTGATTTGTGGGCTTACATAAGAACATTCCTTGTGTTAAGTGCTTTCAGCATATTAATGAATCAAAATTACAGAAGATTGAGAGATTGGTGGGGGAGGGTCAGTTCTCATAAATTGAACTGAAATGTCTTATTACAGCCTTACTCTTTCTTGACACTTATATTGCTTGTAACAAGTATATTAGCTATGAGTTTTAGTTTTATTTTTGGCTGATATTTAATATAATTCAAATATATAGAGTTAAAAAAATCCTATTCTCCAAAATAGTGAAGAATTGGATCTTGTTCTAGTTTGTGTTTTTCATCACACTAGCCAATTGATTTTGTTTAGACAGCATGTCTTGACAAGTTTAATAATACAGTAGTGACTGAGTCTTGTATACAGTGGAATAAAACAGCTGTGCTACCTTTGCAAAAATTAGGGAAACTTAATATTGAATTCCTGGTGGGAGGCTTATAAGTCTACATTTCTTCTATGGGATATAAAATTCATACAGAGCTATTTTTGCATCTAGTATAATGTGTGAACGCTTAGTTTTATTATGCATATGCTAGATGCTGTACTTTATTATTGTGTAGAAATGACAGCTGTACTTTGATAACTGAAAAATCTTTAGGACTAATTCAATGTGTCTGCATTTTAAGCCAGTTTTTTTAAAAATATGAAAGTATGCCTGGTTGGGAAACAGTCCATTTATTAATGGTATCTTAGGGATTTAGATGTTCAAGGTATAAATATGTAGCATTTTATATGAGCCCTATTATTAGGGGATTTTATTTGAAAAGAGAAACTGGAAAGGGAAAAAAAAGCAATCACTGCTGGTTTCTGTTAATACACAAAGAGCTAACCATGACTTGCTGTTAAAATGAAACCACGCACTATGGTATAATAGGAAACATTCTATGCAGAATGTATAGCATTTTGCATGATGCATGTGCAGTTATCCTTCAGTTTTTCGAGCTTAAAGCATACAGTATCACTATCATTCACAATCTGATAATAGGACCGAGGTGATATTAATGTGGCTCTTTTAAAATCAAACTAATTATATTTGCCTGAAAGAGCCACATTAGTGTGATTCTAGCTCCCTGGTGTTTTTTTGGAGCCCTGGAGACAGCCTAGTGAATAGGGTTGAAAATTCATTCTGTATTTGATTAAATGGAACAGACTCGCTGCTTCTTACCCCAGCGGGAGCTATGGGATCTCTTGATCCCCGAAGCGGCTCATAGACCCTGGGAATTCCATTAGCAAGCACCTGAAGAATGTCTGCCCTGCAGTGCCTTTTTTTTTTTTTGGAAGGGAGTAGGGGGAGTTGGTGGGGAAAATAGAACAAGAAGTATATCACTCTTGATGATAAGTGGGGGGAGGCCAAACTGAAGTAGAAGAATCCATGTGTTGGCAGATCTAAAATCAAGGCATGACTTAACAGCCCAGCCTCCAAGGATAGTCAGACACTAATGTTTAAAGTCAATCTATGCTGTACTTGGGGCACTAAAATTAGTTCATCCACACTTATTGAAATCATCTGAGGTGATTCCTTCTTTCTTAGTCTGAAGAAGCAAACTCTTGGGGAAAGTATATGAAAACAGGCAATTGTACTTGTGAAGTGGGTGAGTTATTCTTTTTTGGTTTTATGAAATGTAATACAGAAGGCAGTGGCATATGCTTTGGGTAGTCTTATGTATATATGAAGATGCTTAACATGTTCAAAATGGAGCTTTCCAACTCTTAAAATATTAACATTCTAGTTATAATAACTTGCAGAGCATTATATTTTCATTACAAGGATTTCTTTAAAGTCTTTTTATGCTGGTAACCAGTTAATCTCTCTTTCGGGACATTGTACTTGTTTTCCAATATTGAATCAATTCCAAGTATTGTTATCTTATTTCTAGAATTTTGATAATGTTTATGTAGTAGATAATTGAATCCTATATGTAAAAACAGGTTCTGTCAGGAAAACATCCTTATTTCTATTAAGATCAATAGTGCTTATTATCAGGTAGTAATTCTATACTAATTGTTTCAGAACAAAATATTGATTTGTACTAAAAGCCTGTTTGAGTGTAAAGTAGTTGGTTTAGCTAAGCCACTTTAGATAGGCTTCCTGTTAAAGATTTGACTTACATTTCATTTTTATTAATGATATAGAGGCAGGTGTTGTTGACTAGGTACCTTATCCAATCATGGTTGCAAAACAATCGGTTATTAGTCTTCTGTTTTGTGAATATTTTTATGATAATTGTTTCTAGTATGCACAGCCACTCTCTTTGGCACAGTCACTCACAATCTCTGCTTCTTTACCTGCCCCAATATTTTGACATTTCTTTTGACTCAAAGATTTAGGAAGCTTGCTTTTGAGCTTATATAAACAAAACCTGCAGTTGACACAAAGGAGCTGGTATAAAACAATAACATTAGAGGGAATTTATTGTTTGAGTGGCTTGTTAATGTTGGTAGATAGGATAAATATGTGAACTTGTCAACTGGGATTACAAATTTGCTTAATATTGTTCCAGTTTATCATTTGAAATGTTAACTCTGATCACATATATATGATCAAAATATATTTGTAATATAAACTTTGAAAAGTGGTTAATTATCAGCATAATAGGATATGTTTAACTATATTGAACAGCACTAGACCTAATCTTCTATTTTTTATGTTTAAACCACTAAACATCTGCTGTAATTTTGAAACATATTATCAGAAATAATTGTTATAGTCAGTTTGCAAGATTACTATGTAGCTTTTCTGAATTTTTGCAACAGTTGAATGAAATTGTATTTCAGATCAAATATTTATTCTGAAAAACCTTGAAGATCATTTTCTGTGTACCTGAAAATGTTCATC